GGTGCGAGACATCACGCCCTGCTAATTTTTCCTATTTTTAGTCACCCAACTAATTTCTTTCTATTTTTAGTAGAGACGGGATCTCGCTCTTGCTGAGGCTGGTCTCGAACTCCTGAGCTCAAGCGATCCTCCCGCCTCGGCCTCCCAGAGTGCTAGGATTACAGGCGTGATCCACTGCGCCGGACCCCATCCCTCTTTTCTGAAGTGTGGAGGAATCTGGCCTCATGCTATAAGCAGTTGGGTTAGCAGTTTCACCAGGATTGCCATTGAGAACAGAGCACATGCTTAAACTTCATTTTGTCACTTCAAGTGTCCATATTAAGTACAAACCAAATGTAACTTTATGTCAGTTATTTTTGGTCTGAAGTATTTCTAAACCAAGTTAACAGCTTTTGACACGAGAGGGACTTTTTCCCCTAAACAATCTTTCTGTTTAGAATCAAAATATAAGTAAAAATTGAGCTACAATTCTTTCAAAGAACAGATTAAGAAGATAAATGCTGCCTTTACTAAAAGAAAAACAAAATACCTTCCATTTTCTCTGAGCCATGTATTTCTGCAGCAATAGCTGGGATTTGAGGCCCACTCTGGATCCCGAAGCTTTGGCAGGCAGATCATTCAGCCACTCGTGTTTCAGGCACTGCGTGGCACTCATTCGGCAGCTGTGAAACCAAACAGCAGTCAAGACTTTTAGCCGGGGCTGCCTTTTCTAGTCCAAAAATCTGTTCGATGGTGTAGGAAGCCTGAGTCAGTGGAACGGATTAATCACTAGGCAGATTCAGGCCACGTACCAAAAAGGGAACTCCTCGTGCCTAAAATTCCCCTCCTTAGCAACGCCAGAAAGTCGTCAGCAAAACGTCGCCTGAGCTCTATCGGGGCGTGTGTTCGCGTGACTAATCGCCACCTCGCGGGGACGGGGACCCAGGCGGGCAGCAGGAAGGGCGCTGTGCCCAGAATCGTTCTTAAGAAGCAAAAGAACAGGAGGCTTGAAAGAAGCTCATTTCCCCTTCCAGAGTGTAAAGTCGACTTGCTCATTTGAATTAGAAATTTTTTTTCTTCTCACATAACTTTTCAGTCAGAGAGAAACAAAACCGTGAAGGTGAGGGCAAGACGCGCTGTCTTAGAGCTCAGACTCCCGGGCCTTCCCTTTGGGCTATTCGCACAACACCTTCAGTTACTTGCAGTTATTACTTTATGTCTGAGTATCAGAAAAACTCAGTGGCTCAACCCACAACTTCGATACAGCTGCCGGAGCCTCGGCGGACCTTGGTCACTGAGAAATGAGGCATTCGGGTCTTTTATTCTTGGCAATAACATCTGCATATCTCAACTTTTTTCAACCTTATCCTATTACAAGTGATAATAACTTGGAGATAAGACCAATTTGCAAATATGCCCTTTTCTAAAACTCTGTATTTCATGGTCCTAGTTGTTTGCTTTTAAATTGATTTCCTTTGTCCCTTCCTCTGCTCCCTTTCCCGTTCCAAAGCAGCAGCAGATGAAGAAGCCCTGAACAGCCAGTCCTGGGAAGAAAGCACCTTAGCTGCAGCCGTCCTGCCCCGCGCCCGGAGCAGGGGCCGCCCGAATGGGTCAGGCGCGGGTAGCAGTGAAGGGTACCTCTTCTCTTTGATCAGCAACCTGGAAACGAAGTCCTTGGCCTCCTCCGACAGCCCCTCGAAGGTGTCGGCGTCGAAATCCCAGCTGCAGTTCACGATGAAGTTCATGGTCTCCGCATCTGTCTCCCCTAGAAATGGGGACAAGCCACTGAGTCTGCAGAGGAAAGAACGGACCATCAGTGTGTCCCCGTGCCGACGCAGGTGCCGACACACCGCCAGGACAGAGAGGGACTTACAAGGTCTGAGCGGCCCTAACCAGAACCGAGAGGTTCGAACAGAGAGCGCCCGCTGCCTCTCCACAGGGCGCAGTCCCGCGGCCGGCTCAGGAGCGGAAGCAGGACTAAAAACGTGGAGGCAGGAAGAGCCCTGGAGTAAGTCCCTGTCGTGCTCTCCTCTTTCCCCTAGTCCGCTGGGGCCCAAGTCAATATGCCCACTAGTTATCAAGTACAAATACATTTAATTAAAAATAACTAGCTTTCCAGGCCGGGCAAGGTGGCTAATGCCTAGAATCCCAGCATTTTGGGAGGCCAAAGTGGGAGGATCGCTTGAGGCCAGGAGTTTGAGACCAGCCTGGGCAATACAGTGAGGCCCTGTCTCTACAGAAAATTTTTAAAAATTAGCCAGGTGTGGCAGCACATGCCTGTAGTCCCTGGGGAGGCTGAGGCAGGAGGATCACTTGCACCCAGGAAGGCAAGGCTGCAGTGAGCTGCGATAGCACCACTGCACTCCAGCCTGGGCGACAGAGCAAGACTCTGTCTCAAAAAAAGAAAAAAAAATAGCTTTCCATGTCTACGAAACCACTAGGCTCATTTAAAAATCTACCTGGGCCTTGGGCCAAAGGAAAACTAGCTTCATTAGGCTCCTGCTAGAGCGAAGGCAGCGAGGCGGGACAGCGCAACGGCTGGCCCGGGGGCTGTCCACAGCCCAGCCCGGTGCAGCGCACACAGGGCAGGGACGGGGGCGCAGCGGCACGACGAGCAGGAGAAAACATGAGCTCGTGGCCTCCAAGGAAGTAGCCAAGGGAAGTCCACAGTCGGAGAGGAGGGAGCAGGGAGCACGAGGTCGGAAGTGACGGTGGGAGGACACCGCGGCGGCCCGCTCCGCCCGCCCCGCTCCTGGCTTGCTCTGAAGACCTGCGCTTCTCTGCTGGGGGCTTTTCTCTCCAGCTGAAACTAGCTGCACCCACCCAGAAGGACCGGGAAATTAATTCTACCCCGCCCCACCCAGGATCAGCCCGCCCGCGATAACTAATGAGAGTCGACACAGAAGCGCCCCAGCCCCCGGTGGAGTGACTCCGCGGGGTTCCCCAGCGGATTCCGGGTTCCCCAGCAGAATGAGACTCCAGTTGCCCACAGTGGGGCCCTACTCCAGGGTCATTATTACTTTTGATTATTTTCAGTTATTACTTTATGTCCGAGTATCGAAAAGACTCCCTGGCTCAACTCACGACTTCGCTACAGCTGCCGAAGCCTAAGCAGGATTTCACAACCAAGAAGTGAGATGTTCAGACCTTTATTCTGGGAATAACATGGCCGTATCTCAGCTTCTTTTCAACATCAGCTATTACAATGATAACTTGGAAAGAGGAACAATTTGTAAATACAGTAACTGACACACTTACTGGCTGGCCACCTCTCCCCATCTCACCCCCACCCCTCTGACGGGGGTTCCCGGAGGCACCTCCCAAATAAACTACTTGCACTCAAATTTTTGCTGCTCCTAAGGGCACCCAGGGTAGGACAGATGGCCCCCATCCCCACTCCAGAGCCAGGCCCCTAAGCACTCACAGCATGTAGGTGATGACTCCCACGCTCCACATGTCCGTGGGGAACGAGACAAACTCATAGTTGACGACTTCTGGAGCCAGGAACTCGGGAGTGCCGAAGTTTACCTTCAGCTTTTCCCGAGGCTTGTACCTGGGGAGGAGGGTGCAGAGAACCACGGGAGTGAGGCCTGGGAGAAGTGGGTGCTGGGGCCAGTTCCCAGTGGGAGGCAGACACCCCCTCTTCCTGCCAGCCGTGCTGCCTGCACCTCACGCCCACGCTACACTGGTGGTTTACTGGGGAGTAATCATACCCCAAGGCCCCAAACGTCAAGCCTTTCTAAGTCAGTGGCAGAATCAGAAACCGCAGTCCTCCTCTACACGTTTACAGTCTGAAAAGGAGAGATCGGCGTGTCTTACTCAGTGTGCAGCCACATGAACAAGAATAAACAAATAGGGTAGAAGCCATCGTGGGGGACGGCTCTGTTGGTGTGCACCACGTGCTTGGAGGGGTGACTGTAAAAATTAGGAAAAGAGGAAAAGATGTTCATCATCACTAATCATTAGGGAAATGCACATGCAAACCACAGTGTGATAGCACTTCACACCCATCGGGATGGCTACCAGATAAAAAAGACATGGAAACCGGCAAGCGTTGGCAAGGATGGAGAGAAATCGGAAACCCCGTGCACTGTTGGTGGGAATGCAAAATGCTGCAGCCACTACGGAAACCTGTGGAGGTTCTCCAGAAATGAAATGTAGAATTACCATACGTTCTAGCAATTCCACTTCCAGGTATAGAGCCAAAAGAATTGAAATCAGGGTCTCCAAAAGATATTTGTACATTCATGTTTATAGCAGCATATTCATAGTAGCCAGAAGGAGAAAGCAACCAAGTGTCCATCAACAGATGAATGGATAAACACACTGGTATCAACACACGATGGAGTATTATTCGGCCTTAAAAAGGAAGGAAATTCTGACACAGGCTACAACATGGATGAACCTTGGGGACATTATGCTGATGGAAAGAAGCCAGGCACAAAGGAATGCGGTATGGTTCCACTGACAGGAGGCCCCTAGCGTAGCCAAATTTACAGAAACAAAGTAGAAAGGTGGTTTCTAGGGACAGGGGGAAAATGTGGAGTTATATAACGGGTGCAGAGTTTCAGTTTTGCAAGATGAAAAAGTTCTGAAGATTGGTTGCCCAACAGTGTGAACATACTTTAACACTGCTGTTCAATTAAAAATTAAGATGGTGGCCGGGTGCGGTGGCTCACGCCTGTAATCCTAGCTTTCTGGGAGGCCGAGGCAGGCGGATTGTTTGAGCTCAGGAGTTCAAGACCAGCCTGAGCAAGAG